AAATCCCTCTTGTCTGAATCCACGCCTGTCGCGGCTGCCAATGACGGCAGGAAATGCCTAGCAGAATGTCCGCTCCAGAAGCCCAGTAGCGCCTCTGGAACCAGAAGCACCGTCTTGGAGAGCCCCCAGGAACCCTCCACCAACCGTGGCGCCTTCAGTTCCGCCAGCGCCCTCCGGATGTGACATGCCACTCCTTCGCCGTCCATGTACTCTCGGGCCTGGACCTCCCATCCAAGCGTGAAGCGAAGGCACAAGAAGTCCCTTGGAATCTTGAACTCGTCTGTCTGTAGAAGATTGTAGCCTGCTGCGATCCAATCATACCCTGACAAGCTCACCGATCGAAGGACGAAGGCCTGCAGCTGCCCCACACTCCACACGTTTGCCCGGTCCTGAAGTCTTCGTTCGCGACAAAGTAAACTTCAATCCCAGCTGTGACAAAGTCATCGACTCCGGACAGATTCCCTGCAGATCGTCGCAGCGCAGGCACGCCCAGACCATCAAAAGCAGCATGAAGCACATGAACCGCAGTCCCGCAGGTGCAGAAATTCGCACAACTGTCAGCTCGGCCGCCAGCAGGATGGCGACAGTGTATAATGGCGCTTGCCTTACAGGCTCCCCGTCGGCCTCCAACTGCTGAGTCTAAGACTTCACTGTTCCTTCGAGGATAGAATCCTTCGAGAGACGGGCTTCGAGTGGCACCTGTCCCACTTGCTCCATCAAGAAAACGCTAGCCAAAATTGACCCTGGCACAGTCTTTCCCAGAGGTGAGCCCTGATGTCGCTCTTCAAGATAATGAATAATTTCCCCAACATCTTTAGGCCAAGCACGCCCAAACGTGACTTGAAGCCACTCCCTGACGGGTGTCCAGCTCCTGCAACGATTCTTAAGCGTATTTCCTCGGCGCGCCCCGAAAGCTCGCACCCACACCGCACTGGGATCCTCCATAGCACGGATCCGCGCGGCAGCCGGAAGACCTGCCTCCTCAATGTACTGAGCCAATAGAAGAGCCCACTTCTTCTTCTTGACCTCCTCATGCTCCGCCCGACCGGACGCGGCCCCTTTTGCCTTTATCGCCCTCTCGAGGACTGCCAAGCTAAGCTGTGGACTAGCATTGACCAGAGCCTGATACGTCTCGCTGGGATCGCAGCGGGAACTTGCACTCCTGTAGGGCCCACAAGCCGCAGCCTGAGCCACCCTGCGTACAACCCGATCAGCCATAGTGGGGTGGGCCTGCACGAAAAGCCACAACTGATTTCCCAGCTCCGCGCAGCGAACCAGGCTCCTCGTATCCTCCATGCAGTCTCTGACCAGTTTTAAAGCATCTTTCTCGTCAGCAATCGAGAGTATGAACTCCCCCAGACCCTTGAAATGCACCGCTGCTCTCTCAGCAAGCAAAGGATCGAGTCTGGCGATTGCGGACCACTCGGACTTCACATTTGACATGTCTATTCAGATGCGGCCTCTGCAAAATGCAGGCCGTCCATGGCGCCGAAGGTCCCCTAGCCCCCGAACACCAAAAATTTTCTCGAGCATCACT